GTTATTGGCTTTGTTGTTACATATTGTTGTTACAATTGTGAACTATTGTGTGAACTTCGATTCTTCGGAATTACGCCTCCAATTACAACTTCGAATTGTGAAGTGTTTTAGTTAATGTTATTAGCATATATTGTTCTTGATCAATATTACATAATAAATAACTTTAATCATAATCTATTTTTTTTTTCTATTGTTTGTAGACAAATGGCTTCATCGTCGTCCTCACAGCCTCAGCAGTACAGTGTGCATTCCGGTCCGAGGGATGAGAGTCTTCTATATCTCCAGTACAAACATCGGGCAGAGGCGGTATTTAAGAATGTGTCGGGAGCTCGTGACACGACGCTCACAAACCGTCGTCTCGACACTCAGTTCTGGAAGGCACTGCCTAAGCAGACACTGTCGGTTTGGAGGGCCATCGACCGGACTGGATTCGGCCCCATGTTTCGAATGGGTCGAGTCCAAACCGACAACGCCCTCGTCACTGCTCTCGTGGAGAGGTGGCGTCCAGAGACGAACACATTCCATTTCGATTTCGGCGAGGCCACCATCACGCTCCAGGACGTACAAGTCCTGTTCGGTCTGCCTATCGATGGAGCTGCTGTTTTGGGAGTGACTCTAGAGCTATCACCCCTACAGTGGCGAGAGAAGTGCAAGGGCTTGTTAGGGTTTGAGCCCTACGTTCAGGTATATTTTTTCATAGATTTTTTTTATGTATATGTCAACTCAATATATATATCATTTTTAATATGTAAAAACCACTCTCAGGATCCTCCCACCACCGAGGAAGAGCAAGCAGCACAGAACCCTAGCAAGTGGGATATTCATGGCCAGTGGTTGAATATTGGGCCTTTGGAGCGCTCTTGCAACACTCAGTTGCAAGAAGGACAGCCGGAGATCGTTTACGAGCAGAGGGCGAGGGCCCTTATCTTGTGGTGCATTGGGTCATGCATCTTCCCCGACTCCCGGGCGGATGGCGTCCCACTTTACTGGCTTTGGTTGTTAGAGGACTTCGATGGTATTAAGGGTACAACTGGGGTTCAGCGCTCTTGGCCGGAGTATACAGATCATTGTCGACCTCGTTCAAGGCCTCAGAGAAGTGGATCAAGAACTGCGTTCAATTGATCCAGGTAAATTTATTTAATTATTATTTGAATATGTAATATTTTATTTCCTTACTTCGATTAATACCTAATAACAAAATTAATGTCCGTTTGGGTAGGTTTGGGCATGGGAGCATATCCCTCGTATTCGCCCACAGGTGAAGAGAAGTATGTTTCATACGCTGCCTGGTTGTCCGTTGGGAGCGCGGTAATCAATTTTATTTTTAATTAATCCGTACATTAGTTTTATTATCAAATTTTGTGATTACAATTTTTTTTTTCTCTAATTATTAAGGTGGGTTGGACCGAGGTCTAAGTCAAACATAGCCACATCATTGGCCGCCTACCGGGATCAGTTTACAGGGCTGAGAGAGGATGAGGTAATATTCTTATTTCAATAATTTATTGCTTCTTACAGTTCTTATTTTACACTGATTTATATTTGTTTTTTTTTTT